AAGATGTAATTTAAAAACTATTATACTCTAAATAGGATGACATTGCGAATAGACTTACATCTTTAAATAAGAATTCATCTTATGAATACATAAAAATAATTAAATATATCATTATCCCTTTAAAAATGATGAAATTTTTTAATGCGGATTCCATTTAATTCCTTTCTCATTTCAATATTTTTTATTTAATAAATTAAATATGAAATTATTCATAAACTTTAGATATATCAAATATAGATTTAACAGATAAAAAACAATTTTCTTACTTTTTTTATTATAATTAATTAAATAATCTATTATTAATCAAAGATTGCATCAAAATTTATTGATTTATTAAATAAAAAGGTATTTAAATGGACAAAGAATATTTATTTAATACATTAAAATATAACACTTTAATTATATATAATTTATATAATTAAGTATTTATAACTAATGCCAATTAATAAAATAGTTTTTTTATCATTAGAATCTAATTAAATAAACCTACAAAGTAATCTACTTTCTCTCATAAATCCAGTATTAAACATGTCTATTAATATAATCAAATCTTTGTTAAGAAGATTCTATAACAACATATTTAGTTTGCATTTATTAAATTTTAATTAGGGTTCTAAATAATTTTTAATTCATTAATATATTCCTAAACTATTCTCATTAATGCAAAGCCAAAAATTAATTTATCCTTCTCTCTTGAAGTCTTATCAAACTTTTTGATAGTTTATAAATTTTGTTCATTATTTTATTATGTTGCCACTTTGTCGTATGTCTTATTCGTAATGGAAATTTAGTTTAAAATTTTGAACAAATTAATGAGAAACTCAATATTTATTTAAAAAGATTATGAATTGTTCTTATCATGCCAACAAACAAGTATAATATATCTGTGTAGCTTCTCACACATGTTAAAGGAAACTATGCATTGTTTGTCAATATGAGCATAATGTAGAGTAGAAATAAATAATTCCAATTGAAATATTTCAAGAAATGGTGATCAAAAAATTTACACAATTCAACCCTCATGAGGAATCTGAATTATAAAAATAAAGATAGGCTTTTAAATTCATAGCCTTTTAAACCCAAAGTATGCTGAAGAATATTTTGGATGAATTATCTGAATAAATCAAATCTACATTTGATTGGATTGAAAATGAAAACTAATTATTCATTTATCTTTACAATTAAAATATGAATCTCGCATAAGCTTCTTATGCTGATTTAGAAAAATTAGTTTAAATTGTAGAAGGAACAAAATTAAATTCTTGGGATACTTAGAAGAATGCGGTTATGATGAAGTTAAAAATAACCAACAATTGGTGGGAATAAGAAATGTAAGACTTAATTAGAAAATTGAAGAAAGAAATATTTGAGGTTCGATAATTAATGGAGAAAGAAATTTAAATCTTAGTTGATGAAATTTATTTAACTAAAGAAGATCTGTATGAAATTTCAGCCCACATCCAGGATTTAGATGAATCAATATTTGGGGAAATTATTGAAATACTTAAAAAGGATAAAATATCAGATATCCTAAGTTTGTTTTCAAAGACTTAAAATTAAAAGCTTTATGAATTATTTATAAATAGGTAAGACTAATAATTATGTACTGTGAAATAGACAATTAAGAAAATAAGGAGTATCTTGACGAATATTTAGAATCATCAGTATAATAAGAATGATTATTCCAGCGAGGAATATGCAGAAACCAAAACAGAGTTAATTAAAAAAATACATTAGGATAAGAAATTCATTTAATTTTTAAAATTCTTAGTTCATCTTACAGCTTTTGATTCAAAATTCATATAAAGCGGATCGAATTCACTTCACTTATTAGTAAAAATTAAGGTTGATTTGACAAATCAATCTTTTGAAAATATTAAAATTAAAAATACTTCAATATTGGGAGCTAATTTGAGTAGATGTAATTTGAAGGGAACCGAATTTGAAAATGTCAACATAAGTGGTGTGAATTTGAATGGAGCTCTACTAGTTAATTGTAAATGGAAGAAAATGAAAATAGAGGAATTAAATTAATTATTAAATTATAAAAGCGGTGTGAATTCAGTCTGCTTTTCTCCAGATGGAACTAATTTAGTATCTGGCAGTGATGATTAATCTATACGTTTATGGGATGTTAAGACAGGATAATAAAAAGCCAAATTTGATGGTCATAATTAAATAGTAAAATCAGTATGTTTCTCACCAGATGGAACTAAATTAGTGTCTTGTAGTGATGATAAATCTATTCGGTTATGGGATGTTAAAACAGGATAATTAAAAGCCAAATTGGATGGTCATACTCGTTCTGTCGAATCAGTATGCTTCTCGCCAGATGGAAATACAATAGCATCTGGTAGTGAGGATAAATCTATCCGTTTATGGGATGCTAATACTGGATAATTGAAAGCAAAAAAGTTCCTTTTTAATTTAATCAACACAGAAGCAATTTTAGGTGGTCATCGTGATTCAGTTCGATCAGTGTGCTTTTCACCTGATGGAACTACATTAGCATCTGGTAGTGACGATAAATCTATTCGGTTATGGGATGTTGAGAAAGTAAAATAGAAAGTCAAATTAGATGATCATATAGGTTCTGTTTACTCAGTTTGCTACTCTCCAGATGGAAGCTCCTTAGCTTCTGGTAGTAGTGATTGCATTCGAATTTGGGATGTTAAGACAAGAAAATCAAAAGTCTAAATTGATCACGGTGGTCTATCTGTCTGCTTTTCTCCAGATGGTATTACCTTAGCATCTAGTAGTGCTTAATCAATTCGATTATGGGATGTTAAGACAGGATAATAAAAAGTCTATTTTAATGATTGTGGTCGATCTGTATGCTTCTCACCAAACGGAATTACCTTAGCATCCAGTCAAATTCGTTTATGGGATGTTAAGACAGGATAATCAAAAGACAAATTAGATGAAAAATTAGAGGGCCACAGCAATAGTATCTATTAGATATGCTTCTCGCCAGATGGAACTAATTTAGTTTCTAGTAGCAGTGATAAATCTATCTGTTTATGGGATATTAAGACAGGACAATAAAAATTCAAATTGGAAAGTCGTAATTATTAGGTTCTATCAGTGTGCTTCTCCCCTGATGGAACTACATTAGCATCTGGTAGTGACGATAAATCTATTCGGTTATGGGATGTGAAGTAAGTAAGATAGAAAGCCAAATTAGATGGTCATAGAAGTTCTGTCTACTCAATATGCTACTCTCCAGATGGAACCATCTTAGCTTCTGGAAGCAGTGATTTCTCAATTAGAATATGGGATGTTAAGACAGAATAATAAAAATTCAAATTGAAAAGTTGTGATTATTCTGTTCGATCAGTGTGCTTCTCACCTGATGGAACTACATTAGTATCTGGTAGTGACGATAAATCTATTCGGTTATGGGATGTTAAAACAGGATAATTAAAAGCCAAATTAGATGGTCATAATAGTTATGTTTATTCAGTATGCTTCTCACCAAATGGAAATACCATAGCATCAGCTAGTCAAGATAACTCTATCCGTTTATGGAATGTAAAGAAAGAATTATAAGAACTCTAAATTAATCATGTTTATTTCGGTAGTTTCTCAAATGTAATCTTCTCCCCTGATGGGACTACTTTAATATCTGGCAGTGATGATTATTCTATCCGTTTATGGGATGTTTAGACGGGATCATTAAAAGCCAAATTAGATAGTCATTCTAGTTTTGTTTACTCAGTATGTTTCTCACCAGATGGAAATACCATAGCATCAGGTAGCCAAGATAAATCTATTCGGGTATGGGATATTAAAAAAGGAAAAGAAATTGCATTGTAAAACAGTTCCTTTTCAGATAGAGGTAATTATAACTATTTTATCTAGTAATTTATTATCCTTTTCTAATTATTTCATAAGAAATTAGCCTCAAAGCATAAGCAACTTAAATTCTTGAAGGTGAATTTGTAGATTGGGCAGGCATAGATTTAAAAACTTTCTTTAAGCAAAAAGGAAGTTACATTTTGTAAAAATATTGACAATAATAAATTAAGAATGACTGATTATTTAATTTAAATATTTCAATTATAGATTTTGGTTTTGATATGGAACTGACAAGTGAATTTGGGTAGGCCCACTAGAAGTTTATTTCAGCAGTCACATAATGTTAAATTTTCTAACAAATTTTTTTTTTTTTTGGGTTTGGGTTTGGGTTTGGGTTTG